AATGCGTTTCTTATTATAAGAATCTAATATTTTAATCTGCATTAAAATAAAGAAGTTATGCACCAAAAAATTATGCATTATAATTTACATAATGTCCTTTCATACATACATACATACCAATCTCTTAGCATCCTTCACTCTCTGTTTAGCTGCTTCAGTTGTAAACATACTATCATATATTGTTACAACATGATCTACCATATCCAACACCAACAGATACCAATGTGAATTATGGTAGTTTATTGTGATCATGATCTGCAACAAATTTCACACCCAATTTGACAAAATTCAACATTCTATATCCGAAAACATCATTTGCAATTGGTATGGTGTCTTACCTTCTCACAGTCGGTGAATTTCACATAGTTATCCAATATGACACCCCAGAAGGTAGAAATACTCTCAACACTTTCTTTGTTGTTGGCTTCCAACGCCTGTTGCTGTAATTACGCAACAAACATTATAATTTACCGTCTATAACACTACTTTTCAATATTTATTAATTTAACTCACCACTAAGAGGTATGGAAGGTAGCCAATCCTCCGGAGTGACTTTTGAGAATCGTAGCATATGGTCCAGGCGAGCAAATCGATAACCTAACAAAATTAATTACACATCAGAACATATTCATAAGTTTTAACATTTTCTACTTTCTACTTACCACACCGCCAACCCATTCCGTAGGCTTCAACGTTGCAACGTCGTATACAGTAGCGAATTGATTTCCCATTGATATTACAGAATATCTGTATGAATCATTAGGATTAATATGTTGTCATGAAATATTTAAATATCACTCACAAAACAATATATTTCACTTACCCCGATTCTAACTCGCTATTCCATAAATAATCACAAATTGCAGCTTCGATGTCATCAATTCCGCTTGGAATATCCGCTTTTTCAACCTACAATTTTGCATACAAATTTTTGTCACAACAACATAATAAAAATCAAATTAAGTATTCTTTTATTACACTTACCTTCTTCTTCTTCTTCTGGGGTGCAGGACATTCCGAATCCAAAACTGCTGCTATAACACTCTCCGGTGTATAAATGACATCGACTTCCTTCCTCCTCATTTCTTCCATCTCTTCTTCTTCCTCCTCCCTCTTTTCTTCTTCATATTTTTCAGTTCATCGTACTTTTTTTCTACATAGCTCTTCATCTCTTTTATTTCACCCTTCAATTGAGCTCCTTCATCCGAGTATTTATCAACCACCCCCTTCACCCCCGTAAGTTCACTCCTCAAATCCACAACCTCCTTCACCACTCCCTCAAATTTTTCTCCCGTCACCATCTTAATATCACCCCTTAACACCCCAACTTCTTTCACCACTTCACCCCTCAACACCTCTACTTCTTTCACCACTCCATCTATTTTTCCTTCCACTACCCCCTTATGCCTCTCGAGTGTATCTTCGACTCTCTCGAGTTTCTCTACGACTTGATCAAGTTTCTCTTCGACTCTTGATTGTCTTTGCATGATTTCAAATTGGATTTTTTTGATATCAGCCAATTCAGACATCAAAATGTCGAAGTTACTCTGTTTTGCTTCACCGTCGTCCCACTCACCGTCATCCCCCAATACAACCATCCCTCCTTTCTTCTTCTCTGCCTCCACTGCCTCCTCTACATCCTTGCCAATAACCTTCAAAATTAAATTACAATAGTAAGACATTGATTATATTCTTATATTATTTAATTACATTTATTACCATTTCTTGCTTCTTCCCTCTATCCAACTTCAACTTCACCATCACTCTAACCACCTCTTCCTTCCCCCATGCACGGATGTGTGCCACTCCGGTTCTTTCATAAGCCGGCACTGCCTCACAGCCCGACCAAAAATCGAACAGTGCAACCTGCATTTATAATAAAATTTATATTTTTATATAAAAACACAAAAAAGTGATTCAACTCATTTACCTCTAAGATTGCTATGCACCATTTGAGGTATCTCTGGCTGCCCTTTTTAAAGGTGATGATTGATTCAATCAATCTCGAATGGATATATTCAGCCCAATTGAATTCACCCTTCAAGCCTTCATCGCAAATGAGCTTCATATATTCCTTGTTCGTTGACGTATCACCCGTTGGACAAAGAAATATCCCGACAAGGTACAATAGAACTCGGGCCTTCAGCTCATCCCCCCAGTAAGATCCACTTTTGATATCCTCTTCAACTTCAGCATATGTCACCTTATGATTCAAACCATATTTGGAGGCAAGTGCTTTCCAGTTCTTACTCCTACAGACTTCTATAACACTTTGCCTTTGTTTTGTACCCCCAATACGGCTGCAGCAGTCGATACCCCCAGAGGGAATGAATAATCACCATACTTAGCCATACATTGACTGACGTCAAATTGTGCCATCAAGGATCGACACAATTCCCTCCGAATAGGTCGATCCCTTACTCCGATCAACGATCCAAAACTTATTTCTCCCAGCACATTCAACTGACCCTTCTCCTTAAGGTGTTTAATTAATAAATTCACCCTTTTAATGCTGCATCTTGTCGACACTTCCTACATTTTTTAACAATATATAATGTTATAGTTCTTATATATTTGTATCAACGTATTTACAAGTTTAATGAATACCTTATTTTCATGTGCTTTCCTCCGTTCTTTGTATTCTTTACTATCATTCCTTGACTGTGTGATGTAAGGTTCCTTTTCAGCATCACTCATTGAATTCCATTTGGACCTCACATCTTTTTTCACCTAATATTAAACATAAACGTTTCTTAATCAATACATTAACACTAAATACTAATACTACTCAATGTCAATTTCATTTTACATACCGAACCGCTCTGTGTGCCATCTCCCTTCATCCTTTTGCATTCGGCCATACTGTTAACATTTAAAATTTGTAATCAATTTAAAGTTTATCGATACTTTAATCCAATTACCATTTCAACAATAATAACAAAAAGACATTGATACTTACTAGAAGTACATATATCCACCCTTTGGTTGCTTTCGAGTCTCGGCCTCAATTTCAAAGTCATCTGCTCCACCAACAATTTTCCAACCCATTGACTCCATTTTTCCTTCATATATCAGTTTACGCAAATCAAATTATTTTGTTACATACACTTTTCAATATACAAATATAGATAACTACTCTTGTGGTAAAACGGTTTTCTTCAAAAGAATTTGAATGGCCACACCAAAATGTGTCGGCACATTTATACAACCTATAATATCATTTTCTACCTATAATATTTAATAAAAGTATCGATATTTATATTTTTCCTTGAATATCTATTTCTACCTGCAATCGGTCCCAAATGCTTCCTTACTCCAAAACCCCAAACAACACATAAAAAACCCTATCGCGATTACTGTAATAATTAAAAATTAGGGTTTCAACAACATACTTTTCGATTCGACTGCAGCAACAAACAAACAAACTTCGCTTTAGAAACGCCTTCTGAAATGCAGCAACAATTACTCTTCGATTTCAAAAACTCGTCCGTTCTATCTTTTTTCAGAGGATATTTAGCTATGGCCTTTATATTTTCATCGGATATGTTATTTATATTTAATCGATACAAATACAAAGTGTCGATACTTTTATGTCAGGTGTCGATACTTTCGAAAGGATAATTACCTATTTCTTTGAAAGTGTCGATAATTTATTACACGTACTTACGAAAGTATCGACACTTTCAATATATCCGGTATCATTTTACCGGTTTTATCATTTTGATACCGGTTTTATCATATTTTTACCTGTTATATCGTTGTGGATCGATATATTTTTTTAAAGTATCGACACATTATAGGCGCTATAACTGCTTCTCTTTTAAATTCACAAAGTGTCGATCCTTATATAACGTATCGACACTTTTAAATTTACCGGTTTTATCATTTTGTTACCGGTTTTATCATATTTTTACATGGTATATCGTTTTGGATCGATATATTTTTTAAAAGTATCGACACTTTTTAGGATTTATAACTGCTTTTAAAGTTATGTAATTTATGTTTCAATTTATTTAATAGTGTTTCATGTTTTCCACCTACAATATTAATTTAATAATTTAATTTACACAAAATTTTATTTGATTGTTTTGATATTTTATAAAATATTATTTAGAATTTAAATTTAACAATATTAACCAAATATAATAATAAATATGTTTTCAACAGTGAAATAAGTATGGACACTTTTATAAAAATGATATATACTTTTTTGAAAGTTATGTAATTTATGTTTCAATTTTTTTTAATAGTGTTTCATGTTTTCCACCTACAATATTAATTTAATAATTTCATTTACACAAAATTATTTGATTGTTTTGATATTTTATAAAATATTATTTAGATTTTAAATTTAACAATATTAACTAAAGATAATAATAAATATATTTTCACAGTGAAATAAGTATGGACACTTTTATAAAAAGGATAGATAATTTACAATATAACAGGTAAAAATATGACAAAACCAGATTCATTATGACAAAACCGGTAAAATTTACTTGATATGTTAAAAGTATGGACACTTTTATAAAAAGGATAGATACTTACCGATAACCAAAGTTTACCGGTTACCAAATTTTTTAATAGTTTTTCATATTTTCTACCTAAAATATTATTAGTTGTCAACATAATAGGTACCGCTAAACCGAATTTATTAAATACATTTTAATGTATCCGGTAATACTGTATATTAACCGTATATTAACCCGCATTTCCTGAGACATTCCCGTATGTGTATTTAAATCTGTACAAAAGTGTGAAAATGAGATTTCAGACAAAACTCCATTAAAAATCTTGAAGCTCTTCTCCCAAGATATTTTATAATCAAAACAATAAGAGAAGAAAAATACTTGACGAGAGTTGGCAGTGTCAGTTGCTAGATCAAACGGGTATAATTATAACTAAAATCTACAATTAAGCATTGATTTTTGTTTTTGGCAGTGGCGCAGTGGCGGTGGTTAATGATCAAAGAGCTCTCTTTTTAATGCGAGCGTGGGATATAAATGCTGGACCTTTGCCTTTCATTCCTCTCTTGTTAAAAAATAGACAAGTACCCTTTTATTTTCTCACTCTTAAATCTAGATTCTGAAGTAATAAAGGTTTCTCCTTTATTACTTTTTCTTCTCTGGTTCTTTTTTTTGACTGTTCTGTTGCAGAGTTGCTCTGTTACTGAGCAGAAAGCAAAGGAAAAGAGATAGCTCAAATTCATTGAAAAACGTTAACTTTTGTGTGCGTTACCGTGTTTTTGAAAAAAGAGGGCCTTGAACGAGAGAGTACAAAAAAGTAAGCATGGAATCTGAAAATGGGTATCTTTCTCTCCTCATCTATCTATCTCTTTTTCTGGGTTTTCTCTGCTAAAACTCTTGACTAGGGTTTTGAATGAGTGACTTTATTTATTGTACCGAAATCATTGTTCTTTTTCCTAGTTTGATTGATTGCTTCTAGTAGACTTTTTTAATTTTTCTTTTCTTGCAGCCTTCTTTGAACTTCCTTTTTCTGTTCTGTTCCATCTTTTTTTGTCTTGGGGAAAGCATTTCTTCTTTTGCTTTTTGCAAATTCAGGTACTTTCCAATTTTCCAGTTGTTGCTTTGGATATTGTCTGTTTCAGTTTGTGGGTTTGGGGGTTCATTAATGAGCAGTTTCTATAGCTTTCTTTTGGGGTGGGTGAATTTCAGCTTTTCTAGGACTATATCTTCTTTGTATTGTAAGTTTTCAGTCTCTTAGTAGACTTAGGTTGAAGCTTACTGTTAAAGTTAATCTGTTTTAATGTTATGTCAAAGGCTTAAATCGTTTTCCCATGTGATTTGTTTATTCTTGTTCCTTTCTACCTTTCTCTTTTATGGTGTTGGATCTTTATTCAATCATCTTATAGCATTTAAGGGTGTGTATTTAGGTAATGGTCAATTTTTTAAGGCTTAATTTCTTTTGATCAGCCTAACTTTTGAACTGTTGTTGGCAAGGTGTTCAAACATAATTGTGGAGAAAGGATTAGACCCAATTTTCTTCTTCTACTCTTGTTGAAAGAGGGATGGATGATATAGGCGAAAACCATAAATATGGGCTAGAGAACAGGAATGAGAATAGCATAAACTACCAGGCACCTGCTATGTCATCGGATTGGCAATTTGTTGGTGCCAATCTTACAAGTGCTGGTATGAGTTTAGTTCGTAGTGGTAATCTATTGGCTATTGATTCTTCATGTGCTTCGGTGGCAGACTCATTCGGTTCGAACATTCGGGAACACCCATCTAGTTCACAGAACTTGGGGTTTTGTGGCATCAATATACAACATGGTGCAAGCTCTTCAAAAAATGGGAAAGGTACTCTTACCACTTTGAGAAGTAGCATTGATATACCATTTGATATGGATTGGAATGCTGCAACGTTGAAAGGGAGCTTTCTTTTACCCAATACGAATATGATTTTACCACAGAGTCTATCACAGTTGCCAGCTGATTCTGCTTTCATCGAACGTGCTGCCAGGTTCTCGAGCTTTAGTGGGGGGAATTTTAGTGATATAGTCAGCCCTTTTGGTATGCCTGAATCTGTGGGCCTGTATACTAGAGGTGTGGGATTGATTCCGGTACATGAACATATCTTCTCAGCCAATGAGATGAAATCAGTATCTGGCGTGGAATCTCAGAAAATTAAGTTGAATGTCCCTGAAGCTACTAGAGATGCTTGTCTGCAAGTTGAGAATCGGGCTAAAGAAAGCCCTCTCAGGAATGAGAGAAGTAGAAGCCTTGTGCCAGCCAACGAAGAAGCAAAACAAGGAACTGGCGGTTCTGGTAATGAGTCCGACAAGGCTGAGTTTAGCAGTCGTGAAGGAGGTCAAGATGAACCATCTTCATTGGATGGTACAGGTGGTGAACCTTCTGCTAAGGGTCTTAGTGGGATGAAAAGAAAAAGGAGTTTACAGGTAAAAAGTTGTTCACCGATTGTTTCATCAATCCATTGTACACTTTTGTTTATAGTTGAAGTTTTGATTACTAAGTTTATGGCAGGATGCTGAGATTGATCAAGCTAAGGGAGGCCAACCCCCAACCGAGGCAGCAAAGTATGGTGCTGAAAAGCAACAAAAGGGAGACCAGAAGCAAACTACAAGTGCCAATAAGAATACAGGGAAGAAAGTGTCTCCAGCTTCTCACCCACCAAAAGAAGAATACATCCATGTGAGAGCCCGACGAGGCCAGGCAACAAACAGTCACAGTCTTGCGGAAAGGGTAAATTTTATATAGAATACTCTTTGAAATAGCAAATATTAGATCATCGATCTTGTTTAGATTGGAGTTAATTGGTTATCACTTCAGGTAAGAAGAGAAAAGATCAGTGAAAGGATGAATTTTCTTCAGGACCTTGTACCTGGTTGCAGCAAGGTGTGATAACTTGGACCCTATAGCTTGGGGAGTATAACCATATTGAATTTTCAGCAGTATTCACAACAGATATTGTAATTTATTGTGTGGGAATTCATTGGTTCTTTCAGGTTACAGGAAAGGCAGTGATGCTTGATGAAATCATCAATTATGTGCAGTCACTTCAGCGGCAGGTTGAGGTATTGGAGCAGAATTTACAACTTTGGTTTTTCAAGCTTCTTGTTCCCTAGTAATCTTGTGTAATTGGTGATGATGGAATTGTAGATACTTCAGTTTAAGTAATTAGTGAACTTTGTTCTGGATTGATGTAAATATTGTTACAGCCTTGTGAATTGGTAGTATATCAAGTTCTTCCCTTTTGCAGTTTTTGTCGATGAAACTTGCTACAGTTAACCCCAGGCTGGATTTTAATATCGAAGGGCTTCTTGCAAAAGATGTAAGTTGGTCAAGCATAGATTTAGCAACCTTCATGTGTTCATGTGTCATCTAACACATCAAAAGCTTCTTCATTGATGTACAGATTATTCAATCTCGAGCTGGCCCTTCTTCCACTCCGGGGTTTTCTCCGGATTTATCTGTTGGTTATGCTTCATGGCACCCGTCTCAACCTGGACTTGTTCAAACTGCTCTTCATGTTACAGGGAATGATGCTGATGTTATTCGTAGATCTCTTAGTTCTCAATTAACATCGATGACTGGAGGATTAAAGGAGCCCAATCAGGTTTGCCTTCATTTTCTTTATGTCTTTTGACATCTTTTTAAAGGGTTAACAATATAATAAACCTATTTTATCTTCTTAACATCACGATTCATGAACATTACAAATTTAACTGTCTATACACTTTGATTCTAGCTCTTGAATTCATGGGAGGACGAGCTCCACAATGTTGTTCAAATGAACTATGGAACCAGTGCTCCTTCTGACAGCCTTAATGTATATTACACGCTTTTATTAATCTCCCATCTCATGGGCCAAATGTCGTCCAATCTGATTAAAATTATCTAATGTTTTTGCAGGGCCATGACCATCCGGTAATACAGAACTAGAACTTCGATCCTTCTCTTAAGGATCTTTGACTCCATGCCAGGCATTTCATTATATCCCCATTACTTGCTATATATATGTGTGCCAGCATTCTTGAAGGTAACCAAGGGAATGCAAACCACTCTTTCGAAGGTTAAAGTATAAACATATGCTGTCACCATTCACATAACGTGCTCAAGGTTCCTTAACTGCATGGTCTCTCGAAGGTCAAGTATAAAACATATGCTGTCACCATATTCCTATCATGGCCGAGGTTCCTTGACTGTATGGTGGGATGAATTTCATTTTCATGCTTTTTGAGCATTAGATAATGGAGGGATATGGAACTCCTTTGATCATGGGAATGCATCGGTGCCCTAGTCCGAGGTAAGGTGGATTAGAATGTATAGATTGATTATGGGAAGTTTTTGTGATATAGGAGTTATATGCTTTTATCTGGTATTATCTTAGATGAATCTCTTCTGTAATCTAAGATATGGTTGCATATATGACCAAATTCAAACACTGGAATTTATCTGAAGATTGATTCCTTTAACAAGCAGATTTTTTTTTTCTTCCATAGATATCTGTAGCATTTAAGCATGGGACAAGAAATCATGGAAAGATGTCCGAATAAACGATTTAAGTGTCTTATCCTTTACCTGTCATGTCCTCATTTAAATTTAACATTGAATTTGACATGCAAATCTGATACTCCCGAAGATATGAGATGTAAATCTATTGTATGAATATTATTCTTCTGGTGATTTGCTAGAATCTCCTTGTTCATGCTGTTGATTCTGCAACATGATGAAGAAACGGTTGATTTGCAATAATTGGATGATAATAAACAATACCATGATTCGGAATCGCAGAGATCATAAACAATTTACCTGTAACCTAGCACATATCTCTACAACTTCATCAACAGGAGCCCAATCACCAGAATTTCTCTTTATAAACTGAAGCCGGTCCAGTTCCTCCTTGACCAATTATAAAAAGGCCACCTTTGATTTCACCTTTTCCTTTAAAATTTTGGTCTATTCCTATAGCTTTTGCACGTTTATAGTTTGCAATTGCCCGGGGATTGAATAAAAATCCTGATAGAAACTTGTCTTTAAGTAATTCCCACCTCCAAGAACTTTGAAGAATCCCATTGTACGATCCAAGATCACAACTCCACCCGAATAGCGTGGCCAAAAGTCGTTTACCTGAATCAAAAGTTGATATATCTGAGAGAAAAAAAGGTTTATTGGAGAAATATTTTGAATAAAGAGTACAACTTACCTCTAATTCCATATGTTCATGAAGAACTGCAAACATTTGGATTCCTAGTGCATCAAGTATTTTGATGCTGTGTCATGTTGATTTCATCCATGTCATCTGAATTCATCATCTTTAAAGTTGGGACGTCATCCCAACCTTCTTCCAAAAGCTTTGGAAGCAATGCCTTGGGAACCCCATCACCAACAAAATCTTCTATCGAGAAAGAAGCCATTGTCTGTTGAAACTGAGAATGATTCACCTGTATAATGCTACGATCTGTTTAAATATGCTCATGTGGAGCTTTGATCATATCTCATTCTTTATGCGAAAGATGACTTAAGAAAATACTACTATAACGATGACTTGTGAATTGAGGCTAAACTTACAGAAAAGAAACTCAATTCGATTTGGTAGTTTTGGTTTGTCATTTATGAACTGAAAGCATAGAATAATATGCCGAAACGTTAAGCTTTTGATGAAATTCAATGGCTTTCATAGATTCATTGGTTCACAGGCGTTAATGGAAACAAGTAGACAATAGCTACAGGTTATATGTTAATCTCACAAATTGCTTGAAGACGATAAAAAAGGATGCTGACAGCACGGGAAGGTGATTCGGACGTTGAAAACAATGTTTACAATGCCAACTTTATCCTGCCGTCCTGCTTTAAAAATTTTTATGTTCATGTAATAAAGCCATAATTGTCTTAATGTCTTTAATTTCGTCCCACCCTAAATGACTTCTTTATTTGGATTATAGCGTAGTAACACTGAGACGACCAAAAGTAATTCTATATATAGGGTTAATATAAAAATAAGTACATAAATTATATATATGGTTGTTCTGTATGAGTTTTCTTTCAATAAATAAATAAATTCGAGTATTTCCTGGCTATGGAGTCAGAAACAGTCATTTTATATTGAAACGAAATTTAAGTGGATGAACGAAAAACAGCAACTCATAAAGCAAAACTTTTATTAAATGCTTCAAAATCGTCACGTATAATTAACTTCCATCCATAGGAACAGCCAGGAGCCATTATCACTAATCTCCTTACCTTCCCCAACCCTACTCACATTTTCTTTTCCCTTGCTCTTTTATCCTGGATTTTTATGTTGAAATTTTTATCTAAAGTTTACAGACAGTTTTATTCTTGCCAAGGATCACTTTCTGTCCTTACTTCCGATGGCTCAATAACTTTTTTCTCTGAACTTCCTTCACCTGCACTCGTATCTGTTTCAGAAGCACTTTCAGCAGCACTAGTTTCTGATGCTTCTACTTCATCCTCATCCTCTGATCTACCCCATCTCCCTCCGAGTGCCATTGCCATCATCTCGTAAATCTTGCCACCCAACTCAGCAGGGCTGTCAGGCTGCATGATGAAGAGGACATTAAGAATAATACGTTAATTAAATGTCTGCAAAAATTTTCAAAATAAATGATCCTGTCCACTTACAGAAAAGCCACTGGAGATCAATGCTGTATCATATAACAAGTCAACAGCTCTCTTGGCATCACTGCTTTCGGGTGCATTCTTGCATGCAGCCTGCAAGGTGAATAAACCTTATAGCCGTCATAGAAGAAACAATATAACAAGAACAGCAAGTATATCAACATTTCTGTAATAGTAGATTTCTAGCAATCAACATTTTGACCACCACTACAGCTTAAACAAAGTACAACGGCTTCTCTGTTGTATCAGGGGCACATATCTCATTAGTGCTATTACTACATCTCATATTAATTATATACATAGTAGTAATCAGGACTAATATAGTTAAGTGTAATGCTGCCATTCTTTGTACTTTCTTGGGTTGCTATGGTCAGAAGATATGTTTCAACTGTTTCATCACAAGTCACAACATTAAAAAATAAACATTGTTGAAAGAATGCTACACTAGAATATCTTCAATCAAGTTTTAACTGAAATGCTCTTACATTCAAGTCTTTAATGATTGGATGATCTGGATTAATCTCCAGGATCCTCCTTCCCTCATGAACTCCAAACTTGCTGTATCTCCAAGCGCTTGTGCTTTCATCAACCTACACAATGAATTCACTATATGAGTCGAGGAATGATTTAATGTATGTTTATGACTTATGGATAGATAAATAACATAAAACCTCTCACCTTTCCATGTTAGCCAACCGTCCGAACTTGTCAGAAACAAGGACACAACGAGATGAACTTAGTCGCTTCGAAATTTGGACTTTGGCCACCTTGTCTCCCAGTTGTTGCTTTATCCGATCACATAGAAGATTGAATTATTGTTTGGTTTCCCTCTCGTTTACCTCATCTTCATCACCTGGTATAACAACAAATTCGAGTATTCCCTCTAGTTGATATTTAATTATTTATGGTATCCCATGCCAGGAATGTACAGAACACTCCTAAACTCCACCTCACCCTGCATGATTTTTAAAGAAACTTTAATGACTCTAGTTACGCATAGGAATACAGTGCATAAACAACTGCATTCATACCTCAGTAGTGAAGTGTGTATCCAAGGGGATCCAAGAATTCGTTGAAAGTCTTCTTGTAGAATTCATTGTACTCATCTTTTTCAACTTCCTTAGGATTTCGCATCTACAACAGACCCCACAGAAAACATAAATAATGGTATATAACAATAAATTATATGTAAAATAAAGTAAAATTCTTAAGAAAAAGAGCATCTTAAACTGTATATAGTTAGCAGACAGAAGAAAAACTCACCCATATCGGTTTTGTTTCGTTTGCTAATTCCCAGTCCCAATACTCCTCAGTTTTAGTTGTCTTCTTTTTCTTCACACCCCGTCAACAATCTCATAAGCCAACAATAAAACCATGTTTGCTGAGAAGATAGTTTTGCTAACAAATTGCCAGCAACAATTATATCAGAAAGCAATGGCACAGTTACCTCTGGCTTTACTTCTTCTCCTTCTTGTGGTTCTTCCTCTTCTACATGCTCAAAGATAAAACATAGTAAAGAATGATTAAGAGATATTTTTCAATGAGCTCTGAATTGATGTGCTTATAACAAAACAGAGCAACTCTTCATGATAATGCTCAAAGCTTTTTACTAGCTTGGAATGATTTGGGCCTTATTCTTCTATTTGGTCCTTTATTCCGGGAGTAGTTCTTTGGACTATTTGGAAATTCAGAAATGCCATTGTGTTTTAAGGAAGGAGCTTAGATCAGATTGAGCTATTTTTCATGGCTAGATTCAGGCTAGCTTCTTGGTTCTTAGCTAAGTTCAAGGAAGTTGCTATTACTAAGGACTCTCTCATTTGTGATACCTCTATTGGAGATTTATGCTCTTCTTCCAGAAATTCGATTCATAATATCGTGTCTTGGGTTCCCCCTCCAAAGGGTTTTCTAAAATTGAATGCGGATGCAACTGTTTGTGTAGATTGGCGAAAGAGTGGTACAGGTGGTTTATTAAGAAATGAGGTTGGCGAGATGAAGGGTTCTTTCCAAGAAGCTGCGGGTCCAAGTCCTCCTACTTTGATGGAGCTTTTAGCCATTAAGAGGGATTTAATTTTCTTTGATTCTATTCTTCAGAGGTTCAAGACTCGGTGGATTGTTGAATCTGATAGTAAACTAGCAGTGGATTGGGTAAAGAATTTAGATAGATGTCCTGTTGTTTATCTAAATCTAGTGAAGGATATTGCTTTCATGTTAAGAGACTTGGAGGGTGTTATCAGATTGGTTGATAGAACAGATAATATAGAGGCTGATAGCTTAGCTAAGGCTGGTATTGGTTAGTTTTGTTGTTGAGTTTAGGATGTTTTGTTTGAGTGTTTCGGGTTGTTCTTTGTAAGGGGGCTTGGCTGTTTTAAACATTATGTAAATTTTCAGTTATTAATGAATTTTGAGGCACTCTTTTCCTCATTCCGCTGATAAAGGAACACCTCATGAAGGGGGTTTTTTAACGAGGCCTCCACTTCTTATAAAAAAAAGAAGAGAATAAACCTGGTAGTAACACCTTTAAAATAACAAATAATGCAAACCGTGTTTATCTATAATTACAAAAATCAAACAAGACGAAAATGTTTTAAACCAGTAACAAAACAACTTGAACCATCCATGGGGGACAGAATCAGCAATGAGATAAGCTAAGGTGTCACAAGGGGGTGGAGAACAACTATTCATTTGATTTCACAAATTGATTCCACGTGCCTAAAGCACCAGTTGAGAAGGAAGTAACTAATATCCAAATTAGAACATAGGTATGCACACTAACCTCAACTGTCCTTGATTTTTCTTGCCAAGTGTAGATTGGGAAAGAAACAAACTGGGAGTAAATCTTCACCAAATTCTGAATT